CCCCAAAACCCCAAAACCCCAAAACCCCAAAACCCCATGTGAGATAAAATAGATTGATTAATTTAATAGTAATGGGTGAGAACGCTATAGGAGAACTTATACTTGATCTCTGTTTCTTTGCAATCAGAGAAATTATGAAAGACAGGTGTTATTGCTACTTAACTGTTTAGATGTGGAGCATATGGATATTGGCCAATTCTAGTGATAGTCTCACTGTTTGCAACAATGGTGTCTGCATGATTAAAAACTGTATCATTTGGGGATAACCTTTAGAAAATCTTCTTGTTGTGTCAGACTTCAATCTTTCGTAAGAACCTTTTCTATTCCGGCATTGCTCAGAGATCTTTCTGACTCCAAAGAAACATAATTTTAGATGATCAACAATTTGATGATCACTGTCTAAGCCTTGATATAGCTTTCTATAACGTCCCTGTGTTGATCATGGGAGTGGTCACCTTCTCAGCTTCATGGACATGAATAGAAGAAAACTTCAGATGGGTTGGATATGTTTGCCACCTTATCATCATTATGTTGTTGGTAGGGTGCAATGTCCTCTTGATCATTGTAAGTCCTATTCTTAATTATAAATTTTGTGACTCCACTTTCTGGGCAGCTCTTATGGTTTCAAAAACTTTCTCTATAAAGCCTGACCATTGTTTCGATTTATGCTGAACTGTTTCCAATTTTGTCAAATTAGGTTATGAGTCAAATTGTTAGGATCGATTTTATATTCTAAATTTTAGAAGAAGTGCCACAACTCGAACTTTACCGTTTAGAATGCTAGTTCATAATGGATTTTTATTTTTAAAGTAGATAGAATTCTGACGTAATTTAGCATAAATCCAGACAAAAGAGGAAGATTGCCAATAACAAAAAGAATAAGAAGTAAGTACTTAGGGTTTTAAGCAAGATAATGTTGGTCATAGGAAAACTAATAGCAGAAAGGCTCTATTAAAAAGCAAACGAAAGCCAGACTTGGATAATGTATCAGGAAGTGAGGTGCCGAATACTCAAAATCAAGGGGATTATAATAGACTAGAAGATGAAGAAGAGGTTTAATCATTATAAACAGCTAGTTCTACATAAATATTTAGGAAACAGATTACTTGACTGTTTGCTTTCAAATCTTCTATTTTATTATTTTTTGTTAGAAAAAATCTTGTTCAATTCTATTTTCATTAACTGGGGTTTTGGGGTTTTGGGGTTTTGGGGTTTTGGGGTTTTGGGGTTTTGG